GGTAATATACTGATATGTAGCTATGTAAAATATGTAAAAATAAAAACACCAGAGATTTTATAATTCGAATATTTAAACATTAAATCTATTTCCAACCTCTTTGCGCTATATATGTATGGTAAATGAATGTGTTTTCCTTGCAAAGATGTTCTCACTAAACTAAACGGAGAAGGCCTTGTCTGGTTTATATATTTTCTCTACTATTTAAACTCTGTAAACTCTCTCTTGGCCATATAAAATGAAAGGATTTAAAAGCGCGAATGTTTCTTTTATACATAATACAAACTTCCACTATCCTTACTGCGATGAAAAAATATATTGGGAGGGCTTGGCTCATTAGTGGTGAACCCTCCCAGCGGTTTCGCCAATTTAATCTACCAGACCGCTTCTCAGAGCTCTAATACTGTATTGAACGATTCTGCTTATATACGTAGCACTGAAGGATGGAATCTCAGAAATTGTTTTCAAGAAAACTATGGATATAAGCATTTTCATCGCAGCAGTAAGGACAGTAGAAGTTTGTATTATGTATAAAAGAAACATTCGTGCTTTTAAATCCTTTCATTTTATATGTATAGATGGCGCGTTATTGATTTGTGTCTCTCTTGACCATTGATAAGATGTCAATATACCATTTTTAAATGTCAATTGTCACCAAACTAAACATGAACACATCAAAGATAATTAAACATGTATTTACTCCTCCTCAGCACAAGTACGTGGAAGTACTGTGTTGTTTTGATCATCGGCTGATGTGGTGTGGGTGGCCAGCGGGTTTATCTGTCAGACGACCTCTTGGACTCGTCTGATAAGACATGGTGAAGTCGTCTGGTCTTTTAAGAAAGTCTTCTGGTATGGTCACATCCAGTATAGGTACTGAGACTTCACTCTGATTCTAGAATTGAGTGGGAAATTATTTGATTCAATCTTTTTTAATGCTTTGTTTTTTCGAGACGCGCTCTGTTTCCCTTTTCTAGAAAAACTTATAATGTTTAATTGTAGCTAATTTATGAATATCATATCCAAAACGCTTAGAGCACGCAGATCGTTGATATTTTAAATTAAATTACGAATATAAACAAATAAATTAAAATTGATGTAAACAATTCGATAAAACAATCCCATGAATCAATATTAAAACAAGACATTAAGCCTTCAGGGAAAATATTCTTTTTTAAATATTTTTTATTTAAAAATCTCTAAAGCTTTCGAACAAGTAACCTCTTCTACGGCAGGTAAAATATTTTCTCCCGTCGAAGGGCTTACTTTCCCGAAAGTTTGAGAGATCCCTGGAGGCTTACTGTTCTTATTTTAATGTAAACGATGTTAAAATATATGTAAAAGTAGCTAAATGACACGGCTTCGCCCGGGTTCTCTATTAAAGTGAATGTTTATCCAACAAATAGTGTTTAACAAATATATTAATCAAATAATTTGATTATTATTAGTATATAATAATGATAATGATGTAAATTCCTTAATGAAATATATAATTATTTTCTGAATCGCGTATGCAATTTTTTTCCATATCTGTGATCAATTCTTTAGGCTTTGAAGAGCGTAGGTATGTCAAACTATATTCTCGGCGACTTATATGCAAAATTTCTTAAAGATAAATTTCTTATTCTGAGTGGAGAAGAGTAACAAATTACATCCATTCTACAGTTTTGATTAAAAAAATAAACGCTTACGGAATTATTAACAATGAAACTATTAAAAAATGCTATAACTGAACGTTTCGAAATTTTCAAGAAGGTTCATCAAAGGAAGTATTGATGGTGGTGTCCATGGAGCAGATCTGTCCATGCACCCTGGACCAGTAGAATGGACCGTCAATTCCTGATTTTGTTGCTCCATGGAAAGGGGGGTGCCATTGCTCCGTTAGTCAGCCACATTTCAGAGTTCCCTGTTCAAGGTTACCGTAGCGGCTCGGGGCTCACGACACCGTACTTCGTTCTACAGGACAGTCCCTTACTTGTGCTGCTTCTCCCACCCGCCACGTAGAGGAGGGGTTGGACTTCTAGGCGGAATCAAAGGAAGTAACTAGAGTAAAAGAAAAACATTTTTGAATAATCAGGAAATCTCTTTCTTGAATTGGAGCCTGAAAAGGAAAAGATTAAAAAGTTTTGCAGGTGATTAAACAATGCATTTAAGTTAATCTTCTTTTCATTAATCGCTCAAATGTAATATCATAAAAAATGCCGCAATATTAGTTTTTGAGATTTCACTTTACTATCCTTAACAATCATTTGGTATAAATAAACGTTCTTCCTTGATTTATAATATTATAAAATAAAAAAGCTTCCAGGGTTAAGTTTCTTATCGTGATACTCCTGTTGAAGGACTGACAAGTCCGAAAGCTTGAAAATAAAAAGATGAAAATGATAAACTTAGACCTGGAAGCTTTATTTATTTTATAATCTTTTGGTATATTTAAGCCATTTCATAACTCTTCCTTTATGATGTAATGAAATGATAGCTACTTTTGTACTGGTGAAGGTCACAGCATGAAACCACGGTATGCAGATTGTTGGCTTTTATATGAATTTACCAAATCTATGATACATTTATCATCAACACCATAACTCTCTGTACATAAAGTGATGCTGAACCAAAATACATTGTTTTAATGTTTTTCAAAGAGAAAGAGGTACGTCTTTTGGTACATGACTACCAGCCTTTCGCAAATTTGTGTTGTATTCTATATATATACAGTTAAACCTGTCTATAGCGCCCTCTCTAAATAGCGCCTTCCTCTTTATAGCGCCCGATTTTAAACATTAAAATGTAAACATTTTACATTAAAAGTGACATGTCTATAGCATCCCCTCTCTATAGCACCCTATTTTGGTGAGTCCAAAGAGGGGGCGCTATAGACAGGTTTAACTGTATATATATTATTTAAAAACGCTTATTTTGGATCATATATTTTTATTTTCCAATATTTCGTATGGCAACTCGCCAAACTTCTTCGGAGAACAAGTTCTTGTTCAACCTTTTGAAAAAATTGTCCGATTTAATCATTCCTTCTCGTTGGATATTATGAAAACATAATTACCCCTGTATTGATAAGGGTCATAACCCGAAAACATGGTATATAGGTTGTTGGCTTTTTATATAATATTTGGCAAAATTGTTGTTGTGGTTTATTTAATTATTTACATTTGCGAAAACTAAGCGCGCAAATATAAATAATTCGTGATACTCCTGTGGAAGGACTGACAGGTCCGAAAGCTAGAGAATAAAATTTGAACAAGAAACTTAACCCTGGAGACTTTATTTTCTTTAAAAATATATAAAATGAATACGTAGTTTTTAGAACATTTAATAAATATATTACTACTAATTCTTGTGTCCTTTGAGAGAATAAACTGCTTGTTCTCGTTTGCTATAAGTTCATACCAAACTATTTTTTTCTTCTTACCCCCTATTTGATACATTGTAAATAACATTGCTGATTATTGTTACTATTACTAGCGATTTAATAAAATGAAAGAAGACAAGTTTCTTTAATCATTTGACGACGCAAGCTTTCGGGTAAAAACCCTTCAACAGGCAAGCTAAAGCATAAATACGACACTATGGACTTTCATAGTGTCGTATTTATGCTTTAGCTTGCCTGTTGAAGGGTTTTAGCCCGAAAGCTTGCGTCGTTAAATGATTAAAGAAACTTGTCTTCTTTCATTTTATTAAATCGCTACATATCTTACTAAGAAGAATCTTCTATATCTAGTTACTATTACTGTTACTCCTGTATATATCATATTCTACTCGGAGAATCTGCATAAGACCAAATATTCTTAATAAAGCTTTGTTATTGTTATATAAATATAGTGTATGCATTGATTGTGAAAGGGAATTGTAACTCTTTTTATTTTTGCATTTGAAAACCAACCTCTCACACTTTTATAAAATATCCTTATATATTTCTAATTTATATTTGTTAAATATATATATTTCCTTTCACACCGTTTTACTTTTCTATTTCTTCATTTTTTTATAGAAAAAGGTAAAAAATAAAATTCTCTATCTTTCTGCAGATATTTAATTCAATATATTTTCAATACATTTAAATAAGGTATTGCTGAAAAATCTTTTTCTAGGGAAGAAATTTTTTCTCGAGAAAAAAAAGGGGGAAAAGAGAAATGTATCCAGATCTTTTATTTTATTTTTAAAATATAAAAAATCGATTTTTCTTTATTTTAAAATTCTCAGCAAAACTTTTTTTGTTTTAATATTTACGTTGAAAATGTATACTAAAAGGTGAGATGAATGATTTAAATATATTTTTATGGGAGTTTTACCGGTAGGATATATGGCTATATGGAAATAAAGGTCGCATCTCACATTAAAATAGATTCAAAAGTTTTTTTTTTTGCCTATCCCTAGTACACGTGGTACAGGCCATGATAATCATGGTGGGTAGAAGGCGACTGTTTTTACTGTAAGTGCACCACATGTCTACACACGTGAAAAGCAGTTCGACTTTGCACTTACAAATAAATATGCCAGAGCCCCGTTTGGTTACTTGCACTAGCTGGTGGGGTTGGACTTTTGAAAGAATAGGGGGACATTGGAGCATTTTTTTTTAATCAGAAAAAAGTGTCCAATGCGGGAATCGAACCCGGGTCGTAGCGGTCGAAACCCAACGGTTTATACCAGCCTTCCACCGACCCCCTGATTCAATAATAATGTTTAATTCTGTTGGAATATTACACAGAGTAACAATGGCTATAGATGAGCTCATGTTTGAAAAGGAACTTGTATATAATAATTATTTTTTGTTGTTTTCATGTATAAACATATACCAAGATTTGTTTTGTATACTTGCTATTAATAATAATTAATATAAACAATACTTAAAATTATACCGCATAAGTTTCTTTTCTATGAAAAATCAATATTTATTTTAAAGAGAAATATTTACTATTTCTAACTTTTTGAATGAAGTATGAGACGGTGAAAATATGAAGAGTAATGGCGAACGGGAAAAATAAAAGTGTCCAGGGGCGGGAATCGAACCCACAACCTTCTGCTTACCGGGCAGGTGCCATGTCCAGCAGAAGGTTGTGGGTTCGATTCCCGCCCCTGGACACTTTTATTTTTCCCGTTCGCCATTACTCTTCATATTTTCACCCTCTCATACTTCATTCAAAAAAGTTAGAAATAGTAAATATTTCTCTTTAAAATAAATATTGACTTTTCATAGAAAAGAAACTTATGCGGTATAATTTTAAGTATTTTTTATAATCACACGCCGCAGTCCTTTATAATGTATAATAATTAATATGTAAAGGTAATTTGGTTACGGTTTCATCCTTCTTTCTTACTTTAATTACATTACAAATTATTGCTGTACCTCAACGACCAAAAATATATTCAAAGAGACTTCCTAAGAAATCAAGAAATGGGTATTTATGGTCAACTTTACCTAAATACGCTATTAATATGAAAATATTAAGAAAAATATTTTTATAAAGGTTAGGGTGTTGATATTGAAAACAGAAAATGCACATCCTGACCACTTAAATGTATATACACCCATACCTCGCTTTGCGTCGGGGTTACGTTCCAAAAAAACACGACGCAAAGTGAAAATATGTGAAAGCGCAATCAAAAATAAAGGTGTTGCCATATTTTAGGGAAAAAAAATAAAAACTCGAATCCAAAACAACGCAACTTCGAAAATCTAACGACGCACAGTGAAAATCAGTAAAAATTAAGCAGCGACGCAACTTCGAAAAAAACGCAAAACGAAACGACGCAAAGCGATAATTGGTATAGGTTGTAGGTATTTTGCTTATCTCCTTTTTCATATGCAGATTACTTTAAGTTATGAGGAGAAGAGTAAAAAAACATTGAAAATCAACAAAAAAGTAAAGAAAGTAATTAAAGTATATGCAACTTTATAAAACTTATTTACATAGTTATCTCTTTATATGATATAGTAGTATGTAATACACGTGAAACATTTTGTCTGTTTCCCTCAACTGCTACACGGTCTAGTTTTAATTACGGAAGCAATTTTAATTCTCTTTCCCCCAACTTTCTAATTGAAACATTCTTTCTTGCTATCAAGAATGTAATTTGATGGAAAGACCATAAAAATTATTCTAAAACTGTAAAGAGTTCTCTCTAAAACTTTTGTTTTTGGAAAAGAAGTCTGAAGTTGGTAGAATGTGGATGTAAAGCATTTAGATTTAAAATGCATGGCATCTCTTTTAGTTAAAACTATATTCTTCTTTTCTTCTCTGCTATCCAGACAACTGGTTTTCTAGATAATGATAAAATATTTCCATTCTTGTCATTTTCTGGATTGAAGTTTCTTGCAGAGAGACTATACCGTGTTATATATACAAAATGTTCAACCTTTTTTTTTATTGTTCCACCATTCCAGTGACTCGCTGTTCTCTTCGTCAGAATTTCAGAACACCTTTTCCACCTGAGAAAGCTGCAATGAGTATTTTAACGTCAGAATTTCAGAACACATTTTCTACCTGAGAAGGCTGCAATGAGTATTTTAACGTCGGAATTTCAGAATACATTTTCTACCTGAGAAGACTGCAATGAGTATTTTAACGTCAGAATTTCAGAACACATTTTCTCCTGAGAAGGCTGCAATGAGTATTTTAACGACAGAATTTCAGAAAACATTTTCTACCTGAGAAGGCTGCAATGAGCATTTTAACGTCAGAATTTCAGAACACATTTTCCACCTGAGAAGGCTGCAGTGAGTATTTTAACGTCCGAATTTCAGAACACATTTTACCCTAGGAGGCTGCAGTGAGTTCCAGAACGTCATAATTTCATAACACATTTCCCCGAAGAAGGCTGCAATGAGTATTTTAACGTCAGAATTTCATAATACATTTTCTCCTGAGAAGAAAAAAACCACGTTCTGACGTTTGAGACCAAAAACTTAATGTGTACATTGTGTGACAAGGAAATTACTGAAGAACTCCCCCATTACCTGCTAAATTGTACAGCCCTTGATGCATAGATGAAGGCTTTATATCAACAAATTAAATGTACCAACATTTCATCCTACGTATTGCTTTCAAAAATACCAGCAAAAAAATCTAATGCAATAGCTTATTATAAATGTTTTAGATCATCATTTTGTAAGTTCCAGTCAACAAGTGAATGACTTTGAGATGAAGAGTAAAGCCAGTTCAATTTTTATTTCACTACCTATGTAAATAACACAAGATGATTATTACCTTACCCAATTGAGAAAATCTGTATGGGGCAAGTCCCTAATAAAGGCTTTTGTGTGTGAGTGTGTGTGTGTTTTCCCCTGAGAAGGCTGCAGTTATATCGAAGCGTCAAAATTCCAGAACACATTTTTTACTGATAAGTCTGAAATGAGTGCCAAAACGTCAGAATTTCAGAACACCTTTTCCCATTAGAAGGCTGCAATGATTATCTAAAGGTCAGAGCAAATAAAAAAGTTGAAGATAGGTTTAGGTACTATATATCTTTATAAATGTGTTGAGAGAGAAGCAAACGCAGGTCTAGCTTCTCGTCCAAACTTGCAGTCACGGAGTGGAAGCGCACAGCCTGTAGACAAAAGGAAATCACGCCTAAATAAACATGATAACATTGACATGGGGTGGTACCCGGGAAGGGATAGTCCCAGCTATCGCTAATCAAACCTACAGTATTCCAGCCTCTACCTGACTTCTCTAGGAGGAAATCTTAATATGTTGATGGTAACGTCTTGAGGACATTTCTTCTCCGTCGAACAATTGGCAACGTGGCGACTATTGCGTCATCCTTTAGTTTATCGGATGGATGCTAGCTTCCTCTATATTCTGCTTCATTTACCCCGGGGTAGCGATCCTTGCCGAGTGTCCTAATCTTATATGCTGATGGTGACGTCTTGAGGACATTTCTTCTCCATCGAACGATTGACAACGTGGCGATTATTGCGTCATCCTTTAGTTGATCGGATGGATGCTAGCTTCCCCCATCTTCTGCTTCATTTACCCCGAGGTAGCGATCCTTGCCGAGTGTTTTCATAATATTCGAGAAAAATTTGGAATTACAGCCATTATTCCTTGTGTTTCTATGTACAAATCTGTATAGGAGTTGATAAGGGAGTTTTACTATTAACATTTAAGCTAGAAATTGTATAATATGAATATATTTATAGCTAAAGAAGTTTTAAAAGGTTAATTAATAAAATTATATAATATATGCTTTTATAGTTTCCTTCATATGGATACAAAGTTATACATATATAACACATACAGAGGTATGAACAAAACTTAAGGGAGGTTATACCTTTTAGTATGTATATCCGCATTCAGACAATAACTCTGAAAGATATTTGATATACAGTGACTTTTATTGAAGACACACGAGATAACCATGTGTGAACAAAATTATCTCTCTCCTTCAAAAATACAGAAGACCAGCGATAACAAAGACATTCCAATTCATTAAGTGTTGTCCATGAGTGTAATTAGTTAAAGTCCATTAGCTCGAATCGAATTCGTGATTGGATTTACTCATGGAAGAATCGAGAGAATTCATGTATGAAGGGAAGTTGCATTAAGAGAGTCTATGTTGGTAGAGGACTCAGTCCATCTTTGACTACCCATTATAAATTAATGGTCTTAAGCAAAGAGAAATCCTAACGAAATAGAAAATTAGAAAGTGAAACGCGAAAAATCTTACCAACTAATCTTTTTACCAAATCGCTTCCATCTCGTGACTCATCCACTCTTTCAAACACACATGCACATAGATAACAAACTGAAAAAAAAAGTAAAGAAGCAATTTAGCAAAATCTTCCAACAATAAATAGTCTAAGGTGTTTAATGAACCTTACCTAATCCAACGTAATTAACATATGCACAGGACGGACTGTAAAAACCATTTAAAATAATAATCCCAACAAATAATGTATTTAAACCGCTCGTTAATAATTGTAACATTCAAGTTTTTAACGTTTTTTTAAATTCATTCTGTTTGGAAAGCCTTTAATTATCCATGTTACTGCGGATCATTATCGTATCATTAGTTATGGTGCCAGGCTTGGTTTTGACGGCCATGTCTTTTTTCCTTTCCTTAATTATGTTTGTAGTTTCAGCTGAGCTAAAATCTCATTTAGAAATTTCCGTTTTTTTATCTTTTATTCTTTGCTATGCCTGAGAGAACTCTTCTGTTATGTTAAAAAATAATAGGAATTCCATTAAATCCATTTTGAACAGTATAATTGCAATAATATTGTGGTTATTTTAAGTAGAGAGCGTGTGGGAATAGTCTAATGATTGCATTTAGTCAAGGGTCAAATGTATTTTTATATAAATCGAAATCACAGAGTAATTTAAATCTTTCATATAATATGAAATTACTATCTTGAAGATAGAGGTTGCCTGACCGGCGCATTCATATGTCTATAAAAAAATAGATACTTCGGCCAGTTAGAGTTTTTTAATTTTCTCAACGTTTCGACAAAAATCTTTTGTCTTCGTCAGGAGAAGTAAATAAAATAAAGCATTTGGCAAGGTGTTAAAAATTTCTCTCGGAACAATTTTTAACACCTTGCAAAATGCTTTATTTTATTTACTTCTCCTGACGAAGACAAAAGATTTTTTGTCGAAACGTTGAGAAAATTAAAAAACTCTAACTGGCTGAAGTGTCTATTTTTCATAGAAAAAGAAATTACTAATCACAATTCGCGTTATAAACTAAGGTAAATTTTGGTTTTAAAATTTATTTCTAATCTGAAGTAAAGAATTGATTAGGAATATAAATTTTGGGCATTATGAAGGATTTATGCTGTAAAGGTTAATCATGGTTTGTGCGATGAGTAGTTATGTCTACGGGGTTTAACATCAGAATGTTGTTTCTACATCAACCATTAATTTTTACAATTCTTGATGTTTCAGTGACCTTCTATCACTCTCCTCACCAGATCCCCATCATTCCCCTGGAGAAAGTGACAGCAAGTCAATAAAACGTCGAGAATTAAACAAATCATGGGTTGATGTATTTTTTCCAAATCAACTTTCAATCAACAAATGATCAAAGATATCAGAATATTAGGTAAGGTTTAGAGCGGCGAAGAATTAGGTAAACAGATT